ATATATATATATATAAGTCTTCTTAATTAGGTTATTAATTATTTTAATATTTCTTGCCATATTTTTTGAAGGATCCTTGGTTATTAATTATTCTAATATTTTTTCTATATGTTTTAATGCTACTTAATTATTAATTATTGTAGATCTTTCTCTTACTATATTTTATGTTGACTCCTTTATACCAATCAGAATACATAAAATTCTCTTGATTAATTAAACAAAATTATATTAATGAATTATATTTTTATTATTTATCTTATCAAACACTTTTCAACTTATTTCAAGTTATTTTAATATTTGTTAAACATTTTTAAAATAAAAAATTTATTCAATAATAAATTTGACCTACTTTAATCTAATCCAATCACTTGGTAAGACTCTATCAGTTCTAGAAAAATGGGTTTAATGATATGAGATCTCTTCCAACAAGGAAAGTAGACTTGCACAACCCCTATAAATAATACCCATAAGAAGCAGAGGAGAACAAAACAAAAAATTTCATATCACTCAAAACAAATATGAACGAAGTTGGAAAAGATGAATATTTGTGCATCAGTTTCAACAACTATGGACTTGTACCGGATATTGCTGCTAAAATCTCCGATGAATGTCAGGCGGAGGAGAACAATAGCGAAGAGGACTTTGAATTCTCGTTAGCCTCTGAAAATTCGGATAAATCAATTGCGAAATTCATCTATGACACTCCGACTAAATTCCAGCAGCCAATTTTCCCTCTTTTCAATAGGGATCTATTGTTAAGTGATTCAGATTTGAATGATATTGATAAATCAACTCCGCTGAAGAAATTGTATCTAGAAAAAAATAAATCATTGGAGGAGACGATACCTGCCACAAGTTACTGTATGAGGAAGTCGAAGATAAGTGAGCCATCACCAAGGAAATGGAATAAAAGTAAATCAACTGGATTTGGGCCGAGGATCCGAGATCTGTTATGGAGGAGTAATAGTGGAGGGAAGGAAAAGGACAATTTTCTATTTCTCACAAGAAAAGCAAAATCAAAAAATTCCAATGAGGTTTGGAAGACGGACGGGAAATTATTGAAGGAGACGAAAAACAGCAGAGGAGAGAAGGGTTTACCGGCTGCGGAAAGCACTCATAGGATTTTTTGCTATTTGTATGGGTAGAAGTTATCGACGATTCTAACATGCAAATACAAATGTTTCTAGAAAACATTGGTGTAGAGTTTGAGTTTTTCACATGCAAATGCTTCTAGGAAACATTGTTACAAAAATTGTTTTTTGCGTTTTAGTATAGGATTTTATCACCAACCATTTCTACATAGATGTTGCTTTTTTACTTTCGAATTCTAAAATTGAAAACATTTTGACAATTCCCTCTCTCTATCAACATGTTGGATTTTGACAATCATTTTTATTTTATTTAAATTTTGACTATAAATTTGGATATGAAAAATTGAATTTATTCATAAAATTAAATTTATGTACTTAAAAAGTATTACCCTCTCCTAGTTGTTTTTTTAACTCAAGCTAATATTTTAAGATGTTTTCTTTTAACATATATATTGATATGAAAAAAATTAAGATTTTTATTTTTTAATATAGCTTTTGATTGTTTAATTTTATTATAAAATATTTTAGAGGGAGAGCAAAAGGGTGAAAGTATAGAGTTTCCACATCAATATGATATTTTAATTGCAGAGTATGAGGTTATGTTTAATGTCTCAGGTAAGCATACTATCATGACACGTCCCATTGAGACAGCTAGTGACAGAGTTTGTTAAAAAATTTATTATTTCGATTCATACAAGAGTTTCTCAAATTACCACTTCTAGTGTTCCATTTCGGAACGTCATGGATGTTGTCAAAGATTTGGAAATAATTAAACGTGAGGGATTTGAACAACATGAGGACCAGAGGGACAATTAGTTAGGTGATTTTGGTAGTGCTCCTCCTAAGAATTGAGGTTACTTAAGGAGAGGTTATCTCTCTTAGTCTAACAGACTCGTTCATGTTGTGAAACTAGTGTCAAGGGATGATTATATTGGGCTTAGTTATTCTAGTTTGATACATACTTCACATGGTTCATCTTCTAGCTAGACCTATAGGTTGTGGAGGGCATTCTAATCATTCAAGTTTCTCTCATCAGTCTACACCTCATATTTACCATAGTATTCTTATTTAGTATTTTCTTAAAGTCAAGTTTCATTCAATGAACATAAATTAATTTATTTAGATTAATTAATTTGACCGATTGATATGAATCATCTTCTTATTTTTTCTATGTTGGTCAAACATGTATTTTCTAGGCTAATAACTTTCAAGGATAAAATAAGAAGAATAGAGTCATTAATGCATTGAATTAGGGATATAACGAGTATTAAAGAACATCTATTTTTAATAAAGACAACATTTAAAACAGAAGAATGGTGTATTTTTATTAATTCCTTTTACCAAATATTTCAAGAGGATAAGTGTCAAAATCAGACCTAAATTATCCTCTTTTATTGAGTTTCATACCTAAACTATTGAGTGTTTGAGTTACATAATGAAACCATCAATTTTTAGTTTGAGAAACACTCCCTAGTGGTGTGTGTAATGCACTCTCTCTTTTATTTGAAAAAGTCCAGACATATAGCATATCACATTGATAAAATATTCCACCTTGACAAAAAATTTAATAATAAAACATTAATATTTATAAAATATTAAAGTATTAATATCAATATAATTTTTTGAAAAATATTTCTTTTATAATTTTTTTAAAAATTTATGCTTCACCCCACCCTCCCCATATTGAAGATAGTAGAGAGAGATTTTTTACTATGTTATCCTATGTTATCCAGAATGTGATGTCCAAGGCACTCATCCCCCCCCCCCACCCCCAAAAAAATAATATTATTTTATTTTGAATAAATAAAAAATCCACCACATACTATTTTGACCCTCTGTTCCTATTTTTTATGTTATTTTTACGTTTTTTTTCATTATGTTAGATATGCATGTACATATAGTTTTAGAAAAAAAATCTACTAGTGTATCGAATATAACATAAACAAGTAAGAAATTTAAAAAATCTTGTATATATCTAAGACAAAATGAACAAAAAATTTAAAGCGGATGATTAGTTGGGGTAGATAGAATTATTTTTTAATAAATAAAATAATACTTAAATTAGTATTTGAGGGGTGGGGGATGAAGTAAAAAAATCCAAGTAGGAGGAGGGGTAAGAAAATTATTTTATATTTTATTTTATAAAAGAAAAATTAACTTTTTTGGATAATTATTTTTAATAATACTAATAATTTGTTTAATTTTTGTCAATGTTGAATTTTTTATCCATGTGTAATGTGATGCGACAAATTTTTAAAATAAAAGAGAGAATGTATTACACAAACCATGATCATAGTGGTATAAAAGAGAGAGATCTGTTTCTCACAAAAAAATTGATAGTTTAGGTATGAAATTTACCTTCTCAATGTAATGAACAGGTTCCGTTGTAATAGAAAATTCAATGGGAAGAAATCTTGGGTCGACAAACTTTTCGTAAAATCTGGAAATTTCCCAACTTGGTCGAGATTTGGACAAAATTGACGCACTTAAACTCTAGAAAAATCTTACAGCAATCAGGTGGAATGTTTATGATTTTGATTTAATTCGTAGATACATAACGTGTTAAAGAATCCGTATGACCTTACGAAATTGTATTTGGGTAAGTAAATCTCTGGGAATCACCGTTAGCTTGAAAGGTATTTTTTGAGTATTGTTAGTTGAAATTGTGTTATGAAGTGGGATTTTTCATAATGTTAGAAGGAACTCTTTGTTTCGTTTATGCCTCTTTTGTGCCATGCTATGGTTCCTTGGCAGAGACGCTACGACGGATTTTGGGCGTTGTGACAGGCTCGACGGGACTAAAGTCTTTAATAGCTCACTGGTTCGTGAATGCCGCTCTGGCAAGTTGAATGTTCACTCTAGCGTCACCGTTGTGGCAGGATGAGTGACGCTGTGACGGGTCAAGCATGAATCAGTGTCGTTAATAAATTCCTAAATGATCTTATTTGTCACATTTCAACTTTTACAGCTAAAGAACGAATCGCATGCGATTCTTACTTGTTTTTCACCATTCTTAAGGCTAAAGGTAAGCTTTTCATTCTTTGAATTCATTTTTTGATATGTAAAGTGAAATAGAATGGGTTAATATTGATGGAAAAAGGACTGATCTCAGAATTCATGATGGAAACAACCTTAATCGGATCATGGGATGATCTAGGGTTTGTTAGTACTGTTAGTAATCCGAATAGTTAGTGATTATCTATTGACTCTTATATTACCTTGATTGTTTGTAGACCACGAACAAGCGGAACGAATCCGGAAAGGGAAGAATCAAGTTTCTTACGGTCAAGCTTGTTTCGAGCTAGCTAATGGTTGTGATTCTATGATTGTGCCATATATGTTTGTTCTTGCTTTATTATGATGCATGTATGTATGTGGATCTTGCATGTTGATCACACTAATTGTAGATGAGTATGAGCACATGATTATATGGCATGAACCACTTCTTGATTGTATGATTATTGAGAATATACTTGTGAATGTTATTGTGGTGTGTTGATAGATCAGATTGTCATGTTCTAGCATAAGTAACTGGGACGGTTACCACGTTCTGACATAAAAATGGGATCAAATTATTGCGTTTTACAAGCTAACTTGACCGGGTAACATGTATCGGTGCACTAATAGTTTAAGTTTTGTTTCCATGAAAGGATCAACTACTTGTGATAAAATGTATAATGTTAAACATGCATTAATCAAAAAATTTATATTTGATATAGTACATGGTTATAATGTTGGGATGGCTTGCTAATGTTACACTAGCGGAATAGTCGTGCAATCATGACAGTACACAATGATTGTGTACTGATTCTGTACATGCTCTTATTTTTTTGTGTACAGGGCATCTTTCAGTGGTTATACGCAAACCTCGCATAAAAATTTGTGATTTTATTGAAATCCAAGGGTGACCTAGCATCTTTCGGGCTGCCTTAGATTTTTTTTGAGTCTCTTTCCACATTCAAGACTTAGACTAGTTATTAGTAAGATTTCTTTAGTTAGGATTATTTCCTTTCTTATGTAAACGTTGTTATGTTACTTAGATGTTTGTTACATTGACTTTTAGGTTCTATGTTAAATCTTCTGAATTTTAGTTGATTCTTTAGAATGTTGCTGGAGTTTTATAAGAACTTCATTAATTCAGTTATTTAACCTGCTCTTGTAGTTTCAATGCTGTAGTTTTTCTTTAGTTTTGGTTCTCCCACCGCAGGGTTTAGTGTGGCTGCCACTTCATATCATATATTTTTAGAACTACTTAATTATTAATTTTCTTAAATACTTTTTAATATATATTTTAGGACTAATTAATTATTGAAGTTTTATAATATACTTACCACATAATTTTTTTATTTCTCTTACCATACATTTCCCTACTCCTTTATTTCTTATTTTGCCTATTACTACTTACCATATATTCTATGTTCTTTAGTTATTAATAGTTCTAATATTTCTTGCCATTAAAAAAATTAAAAATATAATCTTTTTGCCATATACTTTAAGAATTCTTAGTTATTAACTGTTCTAATATATTTTTACTAGGTATTTCCATATTCTACATAAAAATAAAAATAAAAAACAATATAAGAATGTTAAAGACAAACAACTTTAGGTAATTGTACTAAAATGTAGAAATTACTAAGACAAATACCACTTACCATATATTTTATGTTCTTTAGTTATTAATAATTCTAATACTTCTTGTCATTTTTAGAAAATTTAAAGATATATATTTTTGCCATATATTTTAAGGTTCCTTAGTTATTAATTGTTCTGATATATCTTGCCCTGTATTTTGTAGCGTGTTAGTTATTAAGTGTTCTAATATCTCTTAGAATAGTGTGTGTTGTTGCGCTATCTAAAAGATATATATATAATCATGCTTGATTTTGAATCTAAGTAATGACTGGAAATTTTTCAAATTCTTCATAAAAATAAAAAATAGAATATAAAAATGTGAAAAACCAACAACTTTATGAAATCGGGCAAAAATGTAGAAATTTGTAAGACATAATACCGTAACAAAAGCATTATGAAGGAACAAAATTGTTGCAAACCCTAAACCCTAGACAACCATATGTCACACAATTAACCATTTACCATTAATGATTTTTACGGTTTTGTTCATTTCAGTCAAGAACACCTCCCGATTTCATGAGTGTGTAGAAAATAGGATTCTAACAATGATTCTCTTTGAAGCGTCTTACACCTCACACTCACATAGGTTATTTCTAATCGTGTTATAGCGTGGATACAATATTTGGTC